ATGGTGAGAAGGCATTTTGTTAGAATAGGCTGCAACTTTGGGCAGTTCTTTACACGACCAGCGCGAGAATGGAGATGCAGCAGCTTAGATCCTACCCTTCGCAGGGGTTTGCTTCGGCTGGATAGCACTATGACGTACATCAGCGGCTTGGCACACGCGTGAAGACGCGTCATCCCGCGATTACCATCCCGGGCTTCCATTCACCCACTTCAACGCGTATGATTCCGCGCATGAAGAGTCATATTTGCACCACTTAATCCTTCCGCAAATGTTGCGATGTGAAATCTCTAATCCACTATGACCTTAGTGCTCACTCACATGGCGCAATCACAACGACCAGCATCGCTATTTCCACTCGAGGACCCTGCCGAACTCACGATACATGCGCCGGCCACTCCTTCGATCTTTCGGATGGCAGGATGCCGCAGAATCGTTCGGACATGTCGGCGTCCTACCAATCTACTGCGTCAAGCCTAGCAATACTGGCTCGCGAAGTTAGACAAGGGATGTGCAGTACTTCTAGCCTACGGCGGAGTTGCTGAAGTGGTGTTGTAATACGAGACGAATACTGGCTCGCAGTGACCATGGTACGCTTGCGCAGCATTCTGTCACGTGGAAACCGTGTTGTGAACACCCCAGGCAAGAACTTCCCGTACTCGTTCCCAGGTAGGATGGCTTCCCCTGCAAAACGCCCAAAAAGAGCTAACGTTCATAGTGATCCTGAGTGAGTCTATAAAACTTTGGTGATGGCGTTGACTTACAGAAATTCAGCTTCACGGGCACAACGATCGCCGTCCGAGTCGAGGACGAGATTTTTCAGATTCACCAGAAGCTGGCATGTGCGACCTCAGACTTCTTCAAAAACGAGGCCAGTATCGTCGCAATCGACGTCGAACAGAAACCGATCCGCATCGACAGTCATACTGCGGCCACGTTCAGAATATACCTCACTTGGCTGTACACGAAGCAGATGGAACATGTAACGGACATAAAGCATGTGTGGCAAACCTTAGTGAGGGCCTTCCTCATAGGGATCACGTTGCTCGATACCACGTTTCGTAATGCAGTTATAGCATGCATGACGCAGCGCGCATGTGTCGGGAGATATCCAAGTCTCAGCCTGGTGAAGGAGGTCTATATTGGAACATTTAAGGGGGCTTTGATAAGGAATCTCCTGGTTGACATATGGGTTATAGCATGGCCAACTGTGTTGGACAAGCTACGGGACCCGGCATCCGAAATGCACGGAGACTTCGTGAACGACCTACTATGGGCATTCTTCACGTCGCCACTATCGCGTTCGACAGATGAGAAGCCGTGGCTCACCGATCCACATCGCTATCTTGAAGCTGTCAGTTAGACCGTGGTGGCTATACCGTCCAATCTTTAGAGGGGGATGACCGCCTTTGGCACTTCTTCCATTTCGTGACCTATGCGTTGGTTATAGTAGGCGCACGCGTTATCTTATCGCGTAATCGAATTTTACCGTTTGGAAGCTGCTATGTGAAGGCAGCGTTAATGTCAATATCACAGTACACATCATAGTTCGACTCGGCTAAGGAGTCTCAGGCACCTTTCGAAACACTATCAGCCATCGTATGTAGTTGTGTAGAAACATGGCTACTAGCATAGGATAAGCTATCATTCATCGATTGCAACGCTCGGTCAGAAACGTGTGATCCCAGCACACATAGTGATGCTACTGACAATGTGTTGAGTTATTGCGCCGCTCGATCGGCCTCTTCCAAAGCCTTGCCCGCGCTCATCTTGCCTAATATCTCAACTTCCGGCATAAGCGCTGGGCTCGCATCTTCGACGCCGTCGGTGTTTCCATCCCACTTCAAGCGAACAAGAGACATGCCCTCGGGGTCACCAGCATCCTCTTTCTCTGCGACCAAGATGATGTTTCGATGGACGGTAGGTCTGAAAGCACATTGTCGTGGATGCGCTCTACGAATATCGGCCCAAGGATCGCTTGAAGAATGCCAGTTCCCGAGCATCTGGAAGCGAGACTCTTCTGTCTTCTTCATCTTTGCCCATGATGGCTCGATCATGGAGCTGATGGGTAGGGCTATGCAGAGTTAGCTAACGTGCAAAGTCTCGTACATGAGCACATGCGTTAGGTACCTTTTTTCACCAAGCTATACCACCCGTACACTTTCTTGGGCGACGCATCCGAAGTGGCAAGCCCCTGCGTTGGCTTGTCATCTTTGTCGTCATCATCTGCATACGGGTCATCCCCACCCCACTCCTCAGCCTCCCGTTCCTTCAGATCGAACCAATCTTGGTTACCGATGTCGATATTGGAACCCCATGAATCCGCCTCGACATTGCTGCAACGTCCAACGCCTGGAACGTCTTCCTCGTCTTGGCTCGAGTTGAGCAGAACGACTAAGACTCCGTTGTTGTCGAAGTCCTTTTGGTCGGCTACTATGAAGTAGAGCGGATGAATGGTATCGTCTTGGTCGCGTAGCTCGATGAAGTAGTCGTAAACGTCTCGCAACGAGCGACCGCTGAAGTCTGGCTGCGGAGCGAATTTAGACCTCCCCGTACTGAGCTCGCCCGTGTTGATGCTTTCTTCAAGCCGTTGGCTGTCTGCTGTGTCTAGAGCAGCTGTGTAGAAGATGGCAAACTTGAAACGATTTAGACCATTCAGTGTGGCGCGGTGGTATTCTGTATTCGGCGCTTTCTTAGGGAGTGTTTTCGCGAGGTCCTTTGTGGAAGACATATTGTGTTGAGTGGTCTGATTGAGGGCAAAGAGTTGGTTTGGATGAGGTGGACGGGTAGATAGAAACCACGTCTCAGCCGTAGTTTCCAGCTGGGTCAGTTCAGGCAACTGCGATTGCGTGACGAGGAGCGCTATAATGGGGCGAGCCTTGTGACCAGAGATGGCCCTGCGTACACTATTGTTGCTCAAATTTTAGCGTCGCAGCCGGGCGTAAGGCGATGATGCGAGGTACGATGAGAAGCCACAAGTGGGGCAGGGTCGCACCAAGCTTATGTGTGGTGCTGCACACTACCTAGGTATGATGTCAGAGATTGGCTGTCATTGGAGATCTCACTGGCGGGCCGAGCCTTCCCGTTCATCTACAGCCTCTTACTTCCCGCACGTCTTGACAGTAATGTACGACAAGTTCGCTTTCTCTCGGCCTGTCCGATGAAAATGTCTCAGTATGCTGACGACTTAGTCCTATAATCGAAGGTTGTACCATTTGTAGACATGGTTAAGTCAACTACTGCTGACCTGTTAAGTTTATCAGCTGTACTAAATACCATGGAATCAAGGGCATTGGCCAGTTTCGACCATGATCTCGATGACAAGGCAGATATATGCCGAGTTACGGCTTATTCGCAGCAAACCTTCGGGTAATCGGCGTCCAAGTTGCTATACCGGTGAGATCAAGCCCGCCATCTCAGGCCGTCGTATACGACAACTACAAGCAGATCAATTTCCGCCCCATCCTTGTGATCTCTACCCGAAGCGGCTCCAACTGCGGTTCTGCATATCATTGGCAAGATTTTGAAACTAGTTCAAGAATTCGATCATACGATTGCATTGACTATGTTCAGCTGTGAGTACAGAAGAGGCCTCCCAATACTTGGGCAGGGTTGACATGGGCATGTAAATGGGGGCCACGACGAGTATATAGAAGGCAGCCTCGATATCGTGTATTTCACACAACAGCCGTTTTCAAACACTTGAATACCTTACTACACAAGCCATCATGTTCAAGACTCTCCTGGTTTCTGGTCTGATAGCCTCCGGGCTTGCCGCACCCGGCATGATCTTTAACTGTGGGGACAACCTCCAAGGTAAACGTCCCTGCATCCCTGAAAGTGCTTTATACTCAACTTGGCTCAGACATCTGCAACAACATGTGCTGGGGCGCTTACTGCACTCGACCATCATTCGGAGTAACACTGAACTATGACCGCTATGGTGGTACTGGAAATCGTGACAGTGCTATCGGAAGAGCCCGTCAAAGATCAGCTGGCTGTCTTCCTAGGCCCAACCGTTGCAGCGTAAGTCTCCCTCCACTTCGTTCAAAAGAAGGACTGAACACCCTGACGTCTACGTTGATGTTGGATCATCTACTTTGCATTTTTTCATCTTGATGTAGACTCCAGTGTGTTCAGTGTTTTCCTTGAATGAGTGCATCAACTTTCCAAAGGATTCGCTGACCCACTTATAGACGCGCGGTGGTAATCCACGTGCTGGCGAGAACTGCGACGAATATCCATTCGCCAGTACCTCTGATGCCGATGCGCGTGGTCAAGTCACCAAGTGTGTCATCAACAGGCACAACGATCGTCAGGGTAATATCATCCAACAATACACCACCGGCACATGCAACAGCCAACCCTGCCAGTTTATCGTCGGCTTTGGCAATCCGGCCGCAAATGGTGTGCAATACTGTCAAGCGTACAGCGACCCTCGCGGCCAATGTATCAATAACCAGACTGCGCAAATCTACAAGAACGGCGCCCCAGATGTGCGACCAGCAACGAAGAAGCGCTCTGAGCTTGAGCCTATCGCACAGGCCGCGCTATTCCGAATGGCTAGTGGTATGGAAGTGTTGTTGCGTAAGTCTTGTTCTTATTCCCCTTGGTTCACTAGTGCTAACATTCCTCTAGCAATCGACACTGTACTCAACAGCACCTGGGTTCACCCCACTCCTCGCAACATGACTATGAAAGCATGGGTTGAGGAAAACGACGAGGACGAAGACCACATTGCCTGGGACTTTGTCGAGGACTTTGTCGCTACTAGGCTTGACTAAAGCCGCTTTGACACTTTCCCACTGCTCAGCCTCGCAAAATTCCCCGTGTTCTCCGAAACACTGACTTTCATTGAAGCTTGGTACTGCATCAGATTATCGTCACTTATCCGATCCCTCAACACGACTGCATATTAAAACTCAGCATCATGGCTAGGAAAATCCTTTCTATCGACTTCTATCTACCTAGGTATCGATCATTAGTTTGTAGCATGCAATCTACTATACCCAGTTCGCGTATGTCATGTCTTCACCCTCTTCATCCATATCCTCACACTCAACGAGGCCCTCCTCCCCAGACGATTCAATCGAAAGTGACTTTCCGTTGGTACGGAATTTGACAACACGTTCTCTTTTGGGCGATAGAGTCTTCTTTTTCTCTTTCGTCGTAGTAGCTTTGGCCTTGGTAGTCCGGTTCCCCTTAGCCTTGGTAGCCTGCTTTCTCTTTGTAGCCGGCACAGCAGGTTCTGCTGTCGTGATACTCTCGGTGCTTCCCAACTCACTGTCATCCGAATCGTGAGCAGCCACGTCTGCCTCCTTCTTGACCTTTCTACCCTTGGTTCCGCTGTTCTTTGCTACTCTGCCACCCTTTGTTTTCTTTGTGTTGTTCTTTTGCTGTTGCTTGCCCCCCATCTTTGCCTTGCCAGTAGTTCTAGGCTTCTTCACAAGAACACACAAAGCCCTAGCGCGTATCCCCTCCTTAGCTCCAGGCTTAGACCTTGGTCTAGGTGAAGGTGACTTTGGCTTCCGCAGCGCTGCCTCCTTAGCGGCTCTCTCTCTGGCCGCGTCTTCTTGAGCTTTTCGGAATGCATCCTCGTTGAGATTTACTCGGACCACGGATCGTCTCTCTCGTGTAGTAGCCGCGGTGGCAATGACTTTTGGTGGCATCGCGTGGATTATTTAATGACTGAGACCGGGATCGAGGTAGCGGCTTGGTCTTGAGTTCGATTGGGTGTCACAAAGTAATTGTGTTCCGAAGATTGGCGAATGACTTTGTAATTTTGAACCGTAGACGGGATACTAGGCGCGAACTAAATAGCCCTGTCTTGTGTCGACCGCCGCATGCGGCCGACATGGTCGCGAACAAAGCCATACCAAAGAACCACAGAGGTTGAAGTAGATGCACAAGTGATTATGGCGAAGATGCTTTGTTCTGAGACGTCAAAGATCGAGGACACTGTTGCGAATTAGAAGTCAAGTACCATGAGAGCCGACTGCTTTGCCTTTGTCTGTGAGTTAGAGGGTCTTGGGCACATCCAACTCATCCAACTGTCCCACATAGACGCTCATGGTCGAGCCAACTGCCATTAAAACAGATAAGTATTGAGGGTATACTACCAAATGAAGATACATGTTATGACACTTCGTGTGCCTTCGCCTACCATGGTCGTGATCGTAACAACCTTGCAAACACCAAAAACGCGCTTAGCCGCAACAAACGCCAACAATACCGCAAGTCGTACGCTCATGTAATGATATGCTAAAACTCGCAATGCAAAGCGAGACTAACCGGCAAATGCAAATCGCTTAAGGTTAAACAACGGTTTTCGGGGTGAGCACTCGCTCTCGGCTTCGCTATCCGGAACAAGAAGGTCTTCGCTCCCCTTCAATGATGATCTCCTCCTCTTCGCAGGTGTCATAGGAGGCGGTGAGCTCGCGGCGATGACTACCTCGGCCTCTACAGCCGCCCAAGCAGAGACTGCAAGTTTCACATCTACATCTTTCTTGGACGGGGTTCCGGGGATGATGGGTTCCTCATCGGGCGCCGAAAAGACTGTAAGAGCGGAAGCTTGAGATGGTGGTGTAGGTTGCCATGCCTCAGTGGGCCGACGGTTAAGACGACTCTTACTAGCTCTTGGTATACCCGGTGCGGGTGAGGGAGACTTATATGTGAACTTTGATCGCAGCTCACTCATTGTGGATGAGATTGCAGCGCTGAAGACCGTCTCGGGCTCGGGGGAAGATGCCGGCGTGAGAGTGCCGATAGTATCTTGTGACTGCGCAGTGCTGCCCCTGGAGAAGACAGTCGACTGTGATTCGCTCCTAAAGCTGGATTGTGTATCACTGAAGACCCGTAGCTTCTTCTTAGGGGCAGAAGCCGCTTGCTCTAGATCAGCCACTTCGGCCATAACCTCCTGTATTGAGTCATCCGAATAGAGCTCGAAGTCCTGGTCGGTCTTCCTCCTCCTACTCTTCTCTCGGTGTAAGGTTGGGCTTGGTTCCGGTATAGAAGGTGCGAAAAATTGGCTCCGCACAACACCCTCGTCGCCAGCGGCGAGTGTCTCGGAGACGGAATCGGAGCACAGTCGTTGTCTCTTAGAAGGATGCGGAACCGAACGTCTACCCGCAGTTGGATCAGTCATGGTCCGTCGAGGTGGTTGAGGCGCCGTACTAGGCGTCGGAGGATTCGGTCGTAAACGGGAGATTGGAGCGGGTACTGCGGCCCATCCATTTGACTCTCTCTGTTGTTCCAGCAATACTTGCTGACTGGGTGATGGTGTGAAAACATTTGGCGACAATTCGGCCAACGGCGTACGCTTGGGCTTGAAGAACGAATCAATCGGCTTTGAGCCTTTCGCGTCGGGTGTCTGAATAATCGTCGAGGCTCTCCGAGAGGGACCAAACGAATTTCTGCCAGGCCTACTGTTGCTCGTGATGCTCATCGGGAGTTTTGTGCGTGGGTATAGGTCACCAGTTGCAACACCGGTGGCGAGGTGTGCTGGTACCTCCTCTCCGATGTAGGGCATATCGGCGAGATCGACCCCTTCATCGAGTGGCGTAAGATTGACCAGCTGCTTGGCGACCGGACAATAGACCCATTGGTAAAGGAAGGTTTTCTCAGCCTGGTCAAATAATTCCAAGAAACCAGCGGGCACCTTGAGCTTGCCGTCGTATTGCGCAGCTTTGACGAGACGGTCGACAGTCTTGTGTTTCCGCAGCATTCGATGGGCAGTCTTCAGGCCAAGTCCACCAATACCTGAGAGATAATCGCAACCGCTCAGGATGCACATTCTTCGAAAGTCGGCGTCAGACCATCCCACAAAGCTGACCTCCCTGCAGGCAGTGAAGTGATTCCGGTTGACCTCGATGCATTCTCCGTATTTGTCCAGCTTTGTTATCAGGCACTTGACGCCAAAGACGAGTAGATCGGAGTCCTCGGACAAGACCCCGTGGATTATACCTTTCCGCTCCAGGTATGCGAGCTGCGAATCAGCTTCGTAAGGCGCGACGACGTACTCGATGTTGTGCTGCTTCAGTTCTTCGATGACCATCCGCGCCATTTCCGGTGTCACGTCCACGCTCTTCTGCAATTCCTGTTGCGCCTGTGCTGTCTTTCCGACCTTGAGGAGTTCCAGCCCGAGCCTCTTGCCCTCCTTTCTTCGTTCCCTTCGATCTTTCTCTGTGCCAGCTTTGCTCGGTAGGTTGTCTCCGTCGAATACTAGGTAGGGGGTGACGCCAAAGTGGATGAGCATGCGGACGCGGTGCATGACGAAGTCGACATATCTAAGGATCAAGGTCAGCAAATACTCGTCATCCATGGACGCATCAACGCATACTTGGTCGTCGGCTTCTCGAGCGCCAGGTCAATCGCACAGGTCGCGGTAGCGCGGTGAAGCCAACCATACGTGTCGACGCCTATCGTCTTGCCGGCGTATTTCTTGAGAGTACATGGTTGCTGAACCGACTTGAGCAGCGGAAGGAGGCCTGTTCGACTGTCAGTATTGTAGACGGGATGATTGGGTGTACCAACCTGAGATGCCCATCTTGTACCCTTTGCCGCTCACGCGTCCGTCCTATACAACGGGCAGAGAAGCAACAGCTACCGCAACATGGTGGTTTCGCAGTCTGGTGACGAGAGGAGAAACGCCCTTATGCACTGCGAATCAAGCGAAAAAGAAAAGGGAGCGCGTTCACATCGATAGTGTGGAGCAGTCATTGATCGCGGGTACACGAGATGACAGGAACGCGCCCCGCTAACATATGCACTAGTCCGCGTCCGACGGCTAGCGTGGTCGTGATCGCCGAGCGCCGATGGATATCCAAAATTTCTTGCGCGAACACCAACACCAAACAAAACGTCAAACTTTCAAAATGGTCAGCAATCGTCTCGACAAGGTGCACAAGAAGATTACGAAGAAGAAGGGAAAGAATCCCAACCTGCACGAGGGCAGCCGAGATACCAAGCGGCTACAGAGCGCAGCGCAGAGAGACGAAAAGCTCAATCGCGTTTTCAGACAACGAAAAGATCAAAATCGAACATACGGTATGCGTTATGTTTGTAATCGATTGACTGTATTATCGCTAACTAGTGATAGTTAATCGAGTCAAATCATTCCAATCATATACCGCAGAGCATGTTGCACCACTCAGCGTACCGGAGATCCAGGCCATGATTGAGGATTACTTAGGTCGCGATGACGAAGAGCTGGCCCAACTGAAGGCAGCTCGTCGTCCGGGACGACCAGCAAGCACGCGTCAAAATTTGTTGGAGATCCACCAGAACACCGAGCGAGACGAGTATGCCGCTGGCTTCTGGGTACCGGATCTTGAGGACGAACTCAACCTGAAGAAGCTGAAAGAGTGGAACGGCGAGTGGGCTCAGCTGGCCACGCTTAAGTTTTCCAGAATCTCAAAGGAGGGTTTCAAGAAGGAGTCTAGCTTCCCGCCCAAGGGCATGTCATGAGCGAATGAGAAAATGCATGGATCGGAGTAATTGAAGGATTCGGGCGTTTGGAGCAAATGATAACAGAATCGACGTGGACTTAGTGCTACGTCGTAGATATACCCAGAAAAGTTTGATTTACCACACGACGGCTTACAGCATACGCAACATTCTCTTAGCCACTTGTTTCAGGGTCGAATGTGAAGTATCCGGAAAGGGAGCGTGGTTATCTACTTGTACTGTTGGAACGCAACATGCCAAACCTTCAGCCCCTTCGGCCCGTCCCTCAGATACGGAATAAGCTTCCCAAAGTCCTCAGTCTTACGAAACTCCATATGCGCCTCTACACTCGGCCATCCGAAAAACGCCGCAAACAACTTCCCATCGACACCCTCACCCAAACTCTCGTGCTGATGCAGTTCAACGCTCCATCCACCAATCACTCCTTTGGTCTCAGCATTAGGTATCTGGGTTGCGATGGAGCGGAAAGTAGAGAACTGGGAGCTGTATTCCTCTTGTGAGTAGTCGGGGGCGAAGAATGCGTTTACGCACTCGGTTACGGGCATGGTGAATGGGTTATCGCTTCCAGACTGCGAAGTGGGAAACTTGACGTGGAAGATTGTTGGGTCGTCGCCAGATGCAAGTTTTTCCATGATGGTCGCCAGGAAAGGTTGGTAGCCTGGGGTCTTTTCGAATGTTCTATGGTCCTCGATGGATTCCCATTCTACATTCGGTCAGCAAGTTCGTATAGTGCTGGCAATCCTTGCGTAGTAGTTGGTTGGGCAAAGCACGAGTAAATACGCACCTACTGCCATTTGCACGGTTTCCGGGTTCTCGATCTGTCGGCCCCAGTACAATGCTTTGGCACCGGGCTGTTTGGCAATAGTGCTGAGGGTTGACTCCCATGTTTCTTTCGCTTCGCCCGATGAGAGATCGAGCCCGGGTTTCATGGGTATGTACACAATCTCGGTAGCGTTTTCCGACATTTTGGGTATGTAATTTGTATGGATGTTGTGGTTAGTAGCTTGAGTGGTGGGGATTAAAATAGAGGAGGTGGGACAATAGTAAGAAGTCAGACAATGAGGCAATGAAGAAGTAGGGCTATGGTGTTGTTCTGTCGCATCTTGCTACATGCATACGATGAGCTGTTTGCCCCACACCAAGCTTGACGTAGGGAAGGGCCGAAAGTGGGGTAACAAAGTGGAACCAGACACGATCGAGGCCCTTCCGATATTCCACCCAATCCTTCCGCGTCCTGAGATTCATATACAACTGACATGGTAGCAACCCGAGAGCTTGCAGCAGCATTTGGTAAGCGAACCTAGGTATCGCAACTTGACCTCCAACCTTATCCACGCCCAAGTACTTTCCATCCCACACCCAGATTGCTTCTCAGTTCCAGCCATGCTTGTTATAACAGCTCCCCAAGGTATCAACACTACCATCACACCAGAAGAAGAGCTCCTCTCAACCCTGCGCAGTCCCGTCATCTTCGTACACATGTGTCGCCTCCGCCTTTCAATTTTTGCGCACAGGTGACACATGCTTTGGTACCGCAACCGAAACATTGCCTTGAGAACTCGTCGAGTGTTCGAATACAGAATGCGCAAGTATGCTGGCCTTCAACCCTAATCCACAACGTATCATGGTCACAGTTGGAACTCCTCGCTCGTGATCGTTCTGCTGCTGTGGCCTCATACTGCTTTGCTGCATGTTCCTTTGCCGCGCGCTTCCTCGATTCCTCTTGTCTTGCACGGTGAGCTGCTTCTTGCCTCGCACGATGCTCTGCTTTCCGTCTTGCACGAAGCTCCGCTTGCTCTCTTGTACGACGTTCTGCTTCCTCTCTCGCACGATGCTTTTCTTCTTGTCTCGCATACTCCTCTGCTTCTTTTCTCGCCCAATACTCTGCTTCCTCTCTTATGCGACGCTCTTCTTTCTGTGTCGCCCAATACTCTGCTTCCTCTCTCGCATACTCCTCTGCTTCTCTTGCTGCTTTCTTTGCTGCCTCCCATCCTGCTTTTTGTTCTGCTGCCTGTCTTGCCTTTTGTTCTGCTTCTCGCTTCGCTTTCTTTCGTGCTTTTCGGGACTCCTTTTCAGCACGTTGTTCAGCCTCCCATGCTTGTCTTGTCTGTTCCCACTGTCGGGCCTGTTCGGCCTTTTCTTTCGCAAGTCGTTCTTTCCTCGCCTTCTCAGCCAGCTCAGCCACAAGCCTTTCGCCTTCTTGATTTTTTCGTTTCGTGAGGTCATCGTTCAGCTGTTCGAGCCGTACCCTTGCTTCGTCTAGGCGTATCTGCTTGATCCGAATGGCGTTCTCCGCGTTGATTGTGGCTAACGTGATGTCGCTCTTCTCTTGTTCACTCAGTCTGTTGCTCAAGAAGGCCAACGTGCCCGCTTCCGACTGATTGTCGTTTGCCAGCTTTGCTCGATTCTCAAAGACATTCCTGTTCAGGCACTCGAGTTCGGCTTCAAGAGACTTGACAGTGTTACGACATTGACGAATCTGCTCTTTCTGAGATCTCTCATAGTTGAGCCACTCTTGTCGTATCCGGTTGCTCTCTGCTTGTGCACGCGCTTCCCTTTGCGCTGGTGTCTCGTTTTGCGGGTGCGGCTGAGGGTTTGGCTGTGATGCGGCTGGAGATGGAGCGTAAGGTTGGCTGCCTGGGGATGACGCAGTTCGTTGTTGACGGCTTCGATCGTATTCGCTCCTCGTGGACGCATCTTTGAGTACTTCCCATGCTGCGTTGATCTGTGCCCAACGTTAGTATGGCACGCTCGTCCAAGCACGGTGGCTTCTCCACACAAGCTGAGTCGTTGCGGTCGCGTGTTGAGACCCGTTGTTCTTGTCTGGGTGATGCAACAGTGCGAGGCGGCGGTACGCCGCTTTGATCTCGCCGTACAGCGCGGAAGGTCGCACTCCCAAGGTGACGTAGTAGTCTTGCGTAGGAAGTGCGGGAGCCATCTTCGCGCGGACGACCTAGGCAGGTGCTGCTAGGGACGTTGCGTGACCTATTTTTGCTGCATTCGAACGGAGGAACGTTCGAATGTACAAGCGCTATTAGCAAGATGCAGGAGTTTGTGCTGTCACAATTTCAACAGTTTGAGAGGACAGCAGTTGCAGCAACAAAACTGTCAGTTCCAATTTTGGACGCGCGGTGGGTTCGCGACGCGTTTGCAGACCGCCAAGGAAAGTGAAAGCAAGAGTGAAAGAGAGAAAGAGTCACCGTCAGTTAGTGAGCGAATCGACATCTGGAGGCCAATCAATATTCACGCTTTCCCATGCTCTATCTATGCAAGATGTATTACATTTTCCTTTTCGATCCCCCATGCATGCAATCGCTATCCAAACGTCCCAAATAACAAGTACGCTTAATCATACACAATCATAATCCAACACCGATATCGACAGAATGTAGTACTCAATTGACCTTTGTGACCTTGATCCCACGGTCGAGAAGGGCATTCTTAAGACCCTTAGCGACCTGCTTCCTTGTCCTGGCGGTCTGTCGCAAGCTATCAATATTGTCGTCAACCAGGTCGCTCAAACGCGCGATCTCCTTGCCCGATGTCGGACTGCCTTCGGGTGTGTAGAACAGGCCATAGCCCTTGCTGGGCGTAGGCGTGCTCTCAACTTCGGGAGTTAGAGCACGACGGCTTAGATCGGTCAGGGTCATCTTGTTGCGATTGGTAGGCGGGGTGGCGTAAGGCGTATCGGCAATGCTGCGGCGGAGATCCGTACCGCGTGACCGTCGGGGTGTACCAGCGTTGCGTGATGAAGATGAGGAAGGACGACTGGAGTCTGCGAGGCCGATCTTGCGCAATTGGGCCTCTAGGACGAGGATGTCGTTGTTCTTCTGCTCAGCAAGATTGGCCAACCGGAGGACTGTCTTCTTGACAGCCTCCATGGAAGGCACTGACTTTGTGCTGCCGTTCTGTGCGTTGTGGGACACCAGACGCGAGCGTAGGACTGCGACTGCATCTTCAGCCTTGCGTAGCGACGTCAAAAGCTGAGCATAGTCGTTGCGCAGAGCCTTCTGTCCATCGGCAAGCTCCTTTGGCAATGGTGCCTTTCGGAGAGCTTCTGCCTTTTCGGGGTCCTTGCGATTGATGATTTGGCGGCGTATGTCATTAAGACGAGTCATGAGCTTGGCCTTGTCGTGAAGAAGACGAGCGAGCTGTGTGAGCTTGAGGAGCACATCCTGTACCCGCCCTGCATCCAGCTCTTGTTCAAGCTGATCTTCAAGAGATCGCAAGGCTTGAATCTCGCACAAAGTGAAGTTCTCGAACCATGAGCCGTGAGGTCCTTGGTCTTGGACATCATCCAGCATACGTCGATCGATTTGGTGACCAGCCTGGGGCTGTAGGTGGTATTGTGTAAACGACTTGATAGATCGAGCGTTCCAGCCAAGTGCATCCACCATACCGTTGATGTCTTTGTAAATCAACTCGATCTGAGCGGCGTGACCTGTCTTGCTAGGTGATTTACCACCAGTGTAGTTCTGGTATGCGACAAACTCCTCCAGGTCCCGGCTCGGCTCGATCGGCTGCGCAAGCTGTGCGCGTATCCGCTCGTCCTCTTCATCTTCAAGATCAGAGACCTGTGGCTGTGGCGTGGGCGGCTTAGACCCCTGCATGGATGAGCTCAATGAAGCACCCGGTGCGACTAAAGGTTCCCGTCGGAGACGAGAAGCTGAGCTCGAACGAGCTGGGCTAGGCGAGCGAAGGTCTTGGGCGCGGTTCGTCGGAGGCGGGAAGTTCGGTTTCGCAGACATCGACGACTGATCAGGTTTACCAGAGAAGGGGCCTTTGTTCGGTTGCTGTCCGAACAGCGATGAGCCTGAGAACGATGGTTGGTTGGCGGCAGGTTTCGAGGCCTGAGCGAACAAAGAAGGCTGGGCTGGTGAAGCGCTGCTTCCGGACTGTGATGTGGCGCCGGACTTCATTGTGGGAGGAGTCGGTGCAGGGGGGAAGAACTGCCGCGACTGGTTCACACTGTCCTGGAAGCTCCAGGTACCCGCCTTCGCGGCTTGCGGCTTTGTTGTCTTGTTTGGCGGGTATGTGTCGTCGACTTCTTCAACCTCCTCATCGTCCTCCTCATCAGAGAAACCTTCCTCGTCATCATCCTCTTCGCTCTCGTCGTCATGGTCGTGATCATGTTCTTCCTCGTCTTCGTTGTCAATGGGAGATACATCTCCAGACGAACTAGGTGCTTCCACCTCAACGCCAGGACTACCAGCTAGCGGAGGCAAATCGTCGCTAGTCGAATTCGGCAACTTTGTGTTGATGAAGTCTGGAGGTAGAGGTGCGTCCTCAGTTTTCGCCGGCTTAGCCTTAGTGAAGTCTGGTGGCAAAGGTGCGTCGTCCACCGGAGTAGCGGGCTCTTGCACAGGTGGTGCAGCCTTGGGGGTTGCGCTCTCCTTTGCAGGAGTATCACTGGGGAACAACGACTTCTGCTTTGGCGGGGATGCCGGTGTCGTGGAGACCCAATTTGGGGGGTTTTCGCTCGCTGGGGTTGCGGGCGGCTTCATCCCTGTCTTTCCTAGCATGTTGGAGAAGTCACTGCCGAAGAAGGAACCGTTGGCAGGAGCCGCAGGCTTCGCTGGATCGTCCTTAGCTGTACCGTCACTTGCAAAAGTAGTGCCGAGCTTGAAGCCACCTGCAAGGCCGAACAAGCCTTGGGACGGCTGAGCTTGTGGTGTAGGTGTAGCTTCGTCCCTCTTTCGGTCGTTTGCCTCGCTCGCATCGGAGTCCTTCGACTCGAACGAGGCCGTGTTGAACGATGACTTGTCTGGCTGTCCAAAGATCGAGCTGCTTTGCTGAGCGGGCGTGTTCGCCCAGGAGGGTAGCGAAGATCCAGTCCCAGAGCCAACGGTGACAGTAGAACCAAAGCTTGGCTCTGTCTTCAGACCTCCAAAGCCAGATTTCTGTTGCCCTTGCCCGAGTGCTCCGAACCCGGAGCCAGCTTGTGCAGAGTTGTTGCTTCCAAAGCTCGAAAAGGAGTTTGACCCTCCAGCAGTTTTGAATTGGGCGAATCCCGACGAACCACCAGCAGCGGCCGAGAATGGGTTGGATTTTGACTCTGGAGTTTGAGAGGCCGCTCCCCATGGAGATGCTTTGCCGCCCATTCCACCTACTGCGCCGAATCCGGAGCCGGCACCTACTGCAGAAGGAGCGCCAAAGGCAGGTTTGGCGGGAGTGCCGATTGCAGAGGGGGCACCAAAAGCTGGCTGAGGAGGCTTACCAATTGAAGATGGAGCACCAAATGAAGGCTGTGCAGGTTTACCGAAAGTTGGAGCAGGCAAATTGGTAGCAGCAGTACCGAATCCGGGCGTTCCAAAGCCGGGCGGTTGAGGCTTCATCAGAGCGGGAGTTGGTGTACCGAATCCGTTTCCAGCGTTGCCAAAGTGGGGGATGCCAGCTGTTCCTGGGGTGCCGGGTGTTCCCATGGACTTGCTGAAAGGGGTAGATGTAGCAACCGGGAGTTTGGACGCAGGCGTGGATGCCCTCGGAGTAGAAGAAGGCGCATGCTGTGTGGCTTCGCTCTTGAAGATGAGACCGGGGTAGCGTTCTCCAGCCTCGATAGATTTGTTCCACATCACCCACCAGGCCGCAAGAAGACCTTCGTGGGTCAGAGCCATGTATGCAGGGAGCGGCCACGGCGCCTCGTTGATCTCTTCCAGGGCGGGAATGGGGCGCAGTATCTTCTCCTTGCTCGAAAGATCAAGCGCCTCGCCAATGAAGACGCTGTCCATTTCCTCGTCTCCATAAGCGGTTCGCGGCACCTGAGCCTTCTTCGTATCGTCCACGTTGACCATCATGAGCTCGTTGCAGGTTTCTTGATCCGGAGAGATCTTGTTGCTTGTGGAGGCAAGTATTGCGATGGAGTCTGCGTGGGAGGAGGTCATGATGAGCATGTCGTCGAGATCGGGCTTCCAGTTTTGTAGGCGTGTGGACGAAATCCGTGCAGGTAGTTGGCGACGTGGAGCTTCGAATGCCTCGGGAAGAGGATCCCAGACAAAGGAATGGTACGTGAAGGATCCCCAGCCCTTGGCCGATTTGATGACGCTGTACTTCTTTTGCTCCGGGTTGTCCTGGTCTTGGTCCTTCAGAGAGTAGACAGCAAGGAATTCTTCAGTTTTCAGCCACGACACGCCGGTCACCTCGTAGTTTTCATCGACGTCTGGAGGTCGAGGAACGATACCTCTTAGATCTCCAGCGGTCATGTGTATAGCGCAGGTGCCATCAATAGAGCCAGAGACTACAGCCTTTCCACGCGCACTCCAAGCGGCGCAGTTGACGTGTGCCTCTCGAATCGTCTTCTTGACGCCCTTCTCCACATCGCATATCTCGAGCTTGCCGTTATCGAGGACTATGGCGAAGTATTGTTCGAATTCGGGGGAGGGGTTTGGGAGGAGAGCGCGAACGGGTGCGTCGGTCGCCAGTTTCGTGTCCGCGTCTTTCTTGCCTTGGCTAACGACACTCGCAACATTGTACGCAGCGACGCCGCCGTCGGCCTCATCAGATGTAACCAAGAAATCTCCATCGGCGGAGAAAGCGACATGGCGGAGGTTGGGAGTAGAGATGGTGATATCGGGCGTGAAGTCTGCTACGACGTCAATGTCGCGCTCTTCCAGACGCGGGTCATCGGCGTTTGCGATGTCATCGGCTATGGTCTTGTTCTGGAAGGCGCTGCGCACGGAGTCTGTGGACGCGATGACGAGGATGTTGGGGCCGGCAGCAGCGAGAAGGGCGGGCTTGGAGGCGACGGAGAGGAGGTTTGCGCACGCAGGTGGCAGATTATCGGCGGGCCATGGCCGGGGCAGGATCTTGACCTTCTTGGGGCCCTGTTTGCCCTGGTTGAGGACCTTGAAGCCGAGATGCTGTGAACTTGTTAGTGCCGTCGCATGGCGGTCTGGTGCGAGCTGTAGCTACCTCAGTCTCAACTTCGGGCACCTCAGGCCC